TATATATATATATATATATGTATGTCTCAACACCTGGTCAGATTTTCATTGAGTGTTAACAAGTAATCTTAGAAATGCTTCAAAACATAAAACTAAAATGATTCACAGAATCTCAATCAGAAAGCAGTTTATTCATAAAAATAAAAATGTTTTTTAATCCGGTCGTTATGGCAAATGCTTTTGGTCCCAGGGCTCGGGAAGCAGACGCAGACAGATCTCTGTGAGTTCCAGTAGAGCCTGGTCTACATAGCCAGTCCCAGGGGTTACCGGGAGACCCTGTCTCAAAAATAACAAAAAAAGTTTTTAAGCCTTTACATAAACTCTGAGTCTCCAAGATGTTAAATTTTTTAGACGTGTATTGTAAGTATCACAGCGCTCTTACCTTGTAAAATAATGTATAATAAAATAATATGCATCTGGCTTTATTTGATATCTTTTAAGAATATTATTCAACAGTTTTGAGAATATGCTTTGGATGATAATAACTGAAGACTTTGTGACAAACCACAGTCGACTTGCCCTGGCATCTGAGACTTGATTGGTAGTAATCATCTCAAAGTCTGTGTTGAAGTTGGAATAAGCATGAGTATTTACTTTAAAAGATCATACGAGTATAAACCTGGGCTCCTACTTAAAGGAAAGACATGGCAGAGAACTATGAAAAGGCTGCCGTTTTGTCCAAATACCCCTCAGTACTTTTGTGTGATGGTATTAATCCCTAATTGTTTGCTTGCACCGCAGAACCAAACATGCACGCTAGTCTTTTAAAACGAGGTCCCAAGTCATTAAGGTAGTCAAAATTATCATCACCATCAGTAGCTGCCGATCCTAGGGAGCTAAGAGAACCAGCTGATGACCCTGTACCCTCAAAGGCAAAGGTCTGAAATGCATCAAAGGGAGGAGCACACGGATCAGTGTTGGCTTCTTCTAGTTTCTCTAGGATGAATTTTCGGAATATGGCGCTGTCTGGCCCCACTTGCAGAGACTGCCTGTACAGACTCCTGATCTCGGCGGCGCTCTTGGTCCTCCGAGTCTTTCTTTCCCGCATGACTGTGCTGCTTCTCAGCTCTACAATATCAAAGGCCTCTGTATCTTCTTCCCCACCCCCTTCATCGTCATAGCGGAATATATTCTCTCTGAAATCTTCACTTTTCTCCGGAAACAGAGTTTGCTTTCTTCGCTGTTTCAGAGCCAACATCAAAAAGATAAACCCTGGTAAAGAAATAACAGGGAACACAAATTAACATGTGCATCATAGTATAAATTGACAATCCTTGCTTTGCTACAAGCTCAGGACACATTTGTAAACTTGACCATTATATAAGACTTGCAAATGATACCTGAATTATAGCATTCTTTCTGGCTGATGATTTACAGGAAAATGCAAAGGGACTAGAATGAACTATTTGGATCATGGTTAATTTAAAATTCAAAATGTATTTTTCTGTTGTTAAATACAACAGAGAACAATGATGCAACTTTTTTGTAATCTGAATGTGCTCCGCAATTGCAGTGAATGGCCCAAGCCCATACAAATTCAGAAGGAAATCCTTTGATGTTCTTCATTGAGGCAAAATTCAGGGATATAATTATTTTCTTACTATTCATTGACAAAAAAAAAAACAAAACACTTTAAACACTTTAGACTTTATTCTAAAAGCTTTATATTTATAGGCTAGTTTTATTCTTATGAAAATCAGTTGCTATCAATAAAATCCTGTGAAAGCTGGGAAACATGAAGTATGACATCAAATCAATGTCTCATGAAGACAGGGCCATGACAGAGAATGTTCACATGCAAAGCTATCCAAGAGGCAACTGACAGCTTGGAATCTAAGAAATCACAGGTTTCAGAAATTTCAGATTATCAGGTATCTGAATCATAATATCACTGATTAGTCCATAATCAATATCTACTAATCAAGGTTATTTTTAAGCATGTAGAATGGAATAATTTCAGAACAAATTTTCTTTAATATTTTCTTTATTGTTTCTATTTTATGTGTGAGTGTATTGCCTGTCTGTATGTGAGTGCACCCGTGTCATGCACTGCCGCTGAGACCAGAAAAGGACTTCAGATTCCCCTGGAACTGGAATTAAGGACGGTTCATAGACTCCATGTGGGTGCTGGGATTCGAACCCAGGCCCTCTGCAAGAGCAGTCAGTGCTCTTAACCGCTGAGCCATCTCTCCAGCCTCAGAACAAATTTTTAATTATAATTTTAATTAAACAAAATAACTGTGTGTCACATGTTTTTGATGTGTGTTTATGCATCAATGAGATAACCAGTCCTTTCTCACCCTGGATCTGATGTATCTGTTCAGCATTTCATATTGCAGTACTTGGAAAAAATATGCGGTAATTTAAAAAAAATTATCAAAAAGAGCTAGGTAGTGGGAATAGTTAATTTAAAACAAAAAGTTAAAAATCAAATAAATAAAGCTAGAAACAAAAAGAGAAATCATTATAATTGCTAGCACAGAAAACAGGAAATGTAAGAGTTCACTGTGAAAAATTATTTGCCAATAATAAATTCTTAGAAACATAACCCACCAAGACCATACCAAGGATAAACGGGAAATCTTGAGACTAATGCAACAAGAAGACTTAGTGTTTCCCATGAAAAATAAAACACAAGGATTTCATTGTTACGTAGCTGAATTATACCAAATAGTTGAAGAAGAAATAATACCAATGTTTCTCAAAATCTGAAAAATGGAGGAGCGAATGCCTAATTATAAATGAAATAAGCACATCAATAGGTATCTGAACTCCTATGTTCACTGTAGCCTTATTCACCATAGTCAGCATATGAAATAATCTTAATTATAATATAGAGTGTAATATTATTCACTTTGAAAAATTATGGAAACCCCTCTAGAACATGTGGGATCCTAGAGGGCATTAGGAGGAAGGAGGAAGACATTTTGAAGTTTTATTGCACATAAGTTACCCATAGTTAAAAACAGAATAAGAAATGCATAAAAATTCAATAAAGAATAATATATTTAAGGAATAAAGCATTGGCAATTTAAAAATACTTAAAAGAATCTTAAATGTCTTTAACAAAAATAAAAAATAAATGATGATCATTGTATGTTAATTATTCTCAATGTTATCATTCTGCAATGAAACATTGCCTTTTACTCTTCCCCCAAAGGTGGATTATCATTGGTTTTCAAATAAAATAAAAGTGAAAATTAACTAAGTGCTTTATATTAAAACTTGAAATGTGCTCTTGAAATAAACATGGTCATCATATCTAATTTCAGGCACTGTATTTTAAAACTCTATTGAGATTTACGGTTGAATAAGAACCTCTAATAAATTATTTTCTAATTTAAATTGCAGTACTTACGAAACATTCCCAAGATTATGAATTGGCCCACATCTGTCAGCTACAAAATAAAACTCATATTCTTTAACTGTGAAATTGTCAGTGTGGATTTTTTGTTTGTTCGTTTTTGTTTTTGTATTTGATTTTGAAGCAACCAGTCTTGTGTGTGGTGTCTGTCAAGTGATCAGGGTGATATTGCCTTATTAAAGGCTCATATGATTGCTGTTTACATTCAGTTGTATCTTACAGACGTAGAGTTATAAGAGAACACAGAGCAGGATTTAGATGTTTGAAAAATGGAAGCGTGATGCATTGTTTGTAGATTTATACTCCATTTAAGCTCTCCTAAAGTTCAGTGTTGTCTTCTATAGAATGAGTACAACATAACTATTCACAGAAAAAATGCATAAAAAGGAGTTTTTATACTGAGATTTGTGTTTAGTGTTTTGATTATAGACTGTCTTTTACAGTCCATTATTATAACATTTGCACTTTTCTTTTTTTAATATGTCTTTCTAATAAATATCTGCTTGTCATGCTCATTTCAGCAGTATTCACAATAGGTAACATAGGGAACTTTATAAATACCCGTCAGTGACAAATTTAATAAAGGAAATGTGGAGTATTAGTGGAATATTAGACAACATGGAGAATCTTAGAGGTCATTAGGTTAAGAGTCATAGGAAAGATAAAGAAAGACACACCTTTGGTAACCTCAGGTTTATTTGATACATAAACAGAACTCATAGAAGCAGGCAGTAAACTGTGGCCGCCTTAATCTGTAAGAGGAGTATGATGGGGATTTATTTGTCAAGAGATACATGGGTGGAGACTATTACAGAGTTCCACAACTGGTCACACATAGGAAATAAGTGTCTGTGAGATGACCAGTCCTAAGTGTCACACCTAAAATCAAACCTCTAGCTTAAGTCTCATGTAACATAGAGGAACAAAGGGTAGAGTGAATACTAGTGCACCTCTCAACTCTCACCAGGGAAACTTCCTCATGCAACAGAGGGCAGTGCACACAGAAGGCCACCACTGGCCAAAGTGCAAAGAATGAGAAACTGCAGAGAGTATGTCCCTGGATAGGAGTCCCTTATTAAACATCACCCACCCATGGCTTAGGTACCATTGGAGAAGAGGAGGCAGAAAGATTGTAAGAGACAGGGTAGGTGTATGATCATAAGGGAACAGTCTTCCAGGCCTCAGGAACTTGCACATAAATGAAGTTACATCAATGGTGTCAGCATGCACAATATCCATAAAAGTTCAATCAGACAAAAACCAAGGAAAGAACTGGGGAAACCACAGCAGGCCTCAACTTTAGCCTAGGAACTATTGGCAGCTGATTGCTGCTGTGAGAGAGTTGGTCTTCTTTAAGTGAATGACTCTAGATAGACTGACTAGACTCCAGTGAATGAATTTGCACCAAGGGACAACTGAGTCCATGAACTTGACTTGATAGACATTAACATACAAGATAGAATGCATGAAATCCGGTGAGGCCGACTAAGTGAGAAATGAAGAATGAGAAAATGAAAGCTGAAAATAATAGAAAATCACTTCCATTGTGAATGCTTTAGTGGGATTTAGCATGCTTTTCCTTCTATGTTTATGAAATCCTTGTGGCAAATCAAGGCAATTGTACATAATATGAGATTGTGCTCCCTCCCTTAACAAAGGCCGGTAGTCAAAGACGGGTAAGATCTTCTGAGAGAAAGCTGACTTAAGACAGGGCATAGCTGATGGAAGCTGCCTGACAATGACGGGTAAGGCTTTGCTCTGGAAGAAGACAGGCACGGTCCTTCTGTCCTGGATATAACGTGATCTGGCATTGTAAAAAATAAAGGGGAATTGTGAAGGCCTGAGCTCTGCTCTGAAGTCAACTCAGAGCTGGAACGGGAGGCCTCAGTTCCCTGAGAACTTGGATTTTTTTGCTGTTATTCCTATTATGAGACTGACTGTTCCTTGAACCCTATTAAAAGTACACAAGGAAGCTTGTATAACAAAGCTGTGTAGCTAATAAAGTTATAAGTAAAGAACATGTTTAATAAGCACGGAAGAACAGATACGATTCCAAAAAGGGCTGAGCCCTGGGAACACAAAGGTACTGCAAATATCATGAAGGTACTGTAAACATCATGATGAGGTAATTTGGCTTGAGAAGAACATTTTCTCTTCCTCTTGTTGTACTATAAATAAGGTTGCTTCTTAGAATAAAGTATGCATTTGTTCACACTCCCCTGTGTCCTGATTTCTCCTGCGCCTATACCTTGGAGTCCCCAAGCCCATCAGGCTTGAATTGTGGTCACTGAACCGTGACACAGTATGAATAGGGGAAGGTATCTAAGTATGATTAAGATGTATTGTATGAAATTTTCAAAAATTAAATATAAATTTATGCTGAGGAAATTTAGTGAGACACTAGAAATAATTTAATGAGATATGTTATAAAATGCATGACCATAGTTGATAGCAATACTTGGAAATTAGTAAGAGAATTTAGCCTTTTTAGAATACTGTTTTAGCAGCCTGGTCAGTACAGTAGTGTTGCCCCATGGTGTGCACATGGATCTTCAATAAATACTTTAGTGCTTTGTGATCCTTGAGAGTGCTTCTAACTCTTATACTGAGTTTCAGTTTCTTGATCCACTGAGGAGATGACGAGATTCACTTCCTTCATTTATACAATGCAGACATAATCATTGTTGCTTTGTAAAGTCACTGTGATGTACAAATTACAAAATATTTATAAATATTTGAAGGCCAGCTCATAGAGTTGAGTTGCAACCCAAGTATATCATGTTGTTATTAATGTGCAGGAAGCTGATATTTCTTGCAGTACACACAAACCACAAACATTCAAAGCAGATGTGTAGGAATATACTCATGTATGCCATTCAAAAAGGATTGACTTTTCAGCTTAAAATGTGTGTTTTCACTCTGCTTTTCGGTTAATCAATTTGATTTTTAAATTTGAATATCTTGAGCAAATCTAAACATGCACACAAAGAATTTGTTATATTTACATACTTTACATATTCATCTTGCTACTTTGAAATGAAGGTTTGTTCAGTTCAGCACCACTTACCAAATATTACCACAGTGATGATCAGAATAGCAATAATAACTTCTGTCTTGAATCCCATGGTAAAGAGAAGTCCCTTATTGGCACAGGTCTCTTTGCTTCCATTGCCACCACAGTCACAGACATATATAGTAAGGGTGTTTGTGCTTGTAAGAGATGGGCTTCCATTATCAGCAATTAGGATAGTCATGTAGAACACGGGCTCTTCTTGAAGACTAAAACCAGCTCTATTAGTCAAAATGACAGCTGTGTTATCTAAAACAAAAACCCATATTCATAATTTTTCAACAACATAAATGTGTCTATTGTTATTAGAGGCAACAATATATGAAAATAATCATGTAAAAGAGACAAATATTTGTTTAATTTTATTTTGTGTTATGAGTTTTTTTATTTTATGATTTTTATTTTATGTGTATGAGTGTATTGCCTGCCTGTATGTGAGTGCACCCATGTCGTGCAACGCCACAGAGGTCAGAAGAGGGTGTCAGATTCCCTTGGAACTGCAGCTAAGGATGGTTTGTAGCCACTATGTAGGTGCTGGGAATCAAACCCAGGTCCTCTACTAGAGCAGTCAATGATCTTAACCCCTGAGCCATCTCTCCAGCCCCAAGTGTTTTGATTGCGTGTATGTAAGTGTACCAAATACCCTGCATTTCCATAGGTGCCAGAAGAGGATGCTGGATCCCTTGGAACTATAGTTACAGATAATTGCTACCCACCAACTGAGTGCTGGGAACTAACCCTGTACACTTTGGAAGAGCGGAATATGCTGTTAACTACTCAGCCATCTCTATAGCTTCAGAAACAGAAACTTTTATAGTAAAAGAAAACTAAAACACCCAGCCTCACATAATCTGATTGCTAATTAGATAATTAGATTAATTATTTCAAAAAGTTCTACAATGCCCTGACAAATATAGGAATATACAGGGCTAAGAAGAGAAAATGGCTTTATGCTAAGATATCCATATGTATAGTGTATAGGCGATTAGAACTAAACTTATGCCTCAGCTATGTTTGAGTGAATTGCACTTTGCACTACTTTAGAAGCAATTCATTTCACAAATACGAATCGGATATTTTCAGTTATCTATCTACCAAAAAAAATCTGATTTCAAATAATATATTTTCTAATTAGATAAAGACATAGTTTTATTTTGTAGAAAATCCTATCATGATATTTCATTATACTTTGGCTTTTCTAAAATGTATTCTATTCAAAACTCAGACAGGCCTTACTCATTTGTCATACTGATTTGTTCACCTAGATAATCATTCTAGAGAATTTATTTGTAATTTTAATGAAACTTATCAATGTATATTTCCAAAAAAGTGAAATTCTTTCCTGACTCCCAAATTGATCTGAATTACCTTTTGTATTGTGATTTCTTATACCTCAAAATTGAATTTTTCCTTCATGGAACTTTGTTTCTATTTTTTTTCTTTGTTTTATTCTGTTTTGTTTTTCTGTCCTTTGTTTAGAAGTGATTTTCCCATCAATGTAAATAGTTCCTGGGTCCATTAGACCATATACAGAAGCCAATAACAGCACAAGAAGGCAGTAGGTATTTTGTGACAGACATTTGCACAATTAATGTGTTTGAAGTATAACAAAAAATTATTTATAAAACTATATAAAACCTCAAAATCTGCTGAAAAAGAACCACAAAACAATAGAATGGCTTTGTGTAATTTATTAACTTGCATACAGAAGGAGCAGAAAACACAAACTTAACCAGAATTTTTTTTTTTTTTTTTTTTTTTTTTTTTTTTTTTTTTTTTTTTTTTTTTTTTTTTTTTTTAAAAGGTTTTCCCTCTTGCCAACTCACTATGTAGACCAGGCTGGCTTTGAACTCACAAAGATCTGCCTGCCTCTGCCTCCCAAATGCTGGGATAAAAGCCGTGTGCCACAACGCCCGGCTAACCAGAATTTTTTATCCTTCAATTGATAAAACTTTTTATTTTTGAGGTAACGAAGTCTAAATCAAATTTCCTTGTTATAGATCCTAGTTATATGCTGTATTAATTCCATCAAGTTATCCTCACCATAAGTTAAATATAAATCAAGATCACTACTTCCTCTTAGATTTACAATTGACAGAGTGAAAGTTTCTCTTCAGATGGAGATGAATGACATTACCTTCATTGTCAGTGAGAGTAAAACTTGAGTTGTTTGTGTCTTCCACAGATAGATTAAAGTAGAAATGATGATCTTCTACAGATTCATCTCTGTCTATTGCACTGATGGTCTGAATTGTCTAGAATAACATGAAGATAGATTATCATTAGCATTACTATTATTGGCATGTAATGATCATTGCTGCTATTTATTTTGTTTGTCTTAAAAGTAATTTGACAAGATCATTATGGATATTTCACAATCTCTCTGATCATGCTTCATTCTTGCTTCTTAATCCAAAATCCATTCATTACTTTTGCAGAACACTGTAATGACAATACAGACTTAGATTTTATATGTAATGCTATAGAGTTCCTGCTTATTTGCTAAAGTAATCGATTTAAAATTGATTTTCAGGAAAAAATGCATTGAAAGCAGGGGCAATATATATGTTTGCCTTTGAACCACAAAAATTATAGAAAAAGTTTTCCTTATCAGATAAGTGTCACTCTTTCTCTCATATTGTAAAGCTGTAAAGCAATATAGATATTAACAAGTTAGTTCATAATTATTTCATTTTATTTAAAGGCATGAATGTGTCAGTCAAATACATTATAGTCAGAATAAAAGATACTCTTGTCATGATCACACAGTGAGTTTGTTATTAGTTCTCAAAATTAAAGTAAATTGATTGTAGTAGTTATGGTTTTGAAGTTTCTAGAAAGTCCTTTTATCTGTGTGTCAAATAGAACCATGCTTTGTTGCAAAATGACAGAAGCAAATTTATTAGTAACACTTAAAGAACAACTATGCCTTCCCATGCTTGCAGAGGAATCTAATGCAATCTGTATATTATATGTCCATATTGATTTATATCTTCTTCATAATAGAGTTCTAATTATGTCATAATATGTGAAAAGCAAAAAGTTGTACTCAATCCATGCTTAGAGTATTACATGTGGGTGTTTCATGATAGGAAGGGAGTGCTTTCATTATAGAACACCAGGTGGTTTTTGTCTAACAATGAGCTTAAGGGCAGAAAATTCTAAATCCTTACTTTGATACTCATAAGTTCTTTAAACTAAAAAACCGGAGTCAAGAGTATCTAACTTTTATGACTCCTTTGTAGATTCTTATGTGCTAGCATCTCAAAGAGCGTTTATGCAATTGTGCATGCCTATTATATCATCACCATAAAAACTCTTTCCTTGATATTTGCATAGAACTGTGTTACAGATTGTAATTGATCCCATTGTTGTAGATTTATTTGTTGAAACAAGATTAAATCCAATTGTAAAAGTCAGGCTTTCATTGATCGCATCTACACTATTTATCTTACCATGTGAGCTTTTTATTACATACAAACAGTGTTCAAATGCCTGTCTTTGAAGTAGGAAGGTCTAAGAGGACAGGAGATTGATTTGGGGTGTATTTAAATTTTAAATTTGATTTTACTTCTAAGAATTTCATACCTGAATATTGCATTTGCATTATTCCC